GATCAGAGGGCACAAGTAAGCTCGCTTTCCAAACTTAACTGGTGAGCCAGGCACAAGATGAGAATGTCACTGGAAAACTGGACACTTGTTGGCTGTAAATGTCACTCAGTGCAGAAGATGTGAATTTTTAGAAGGGAAGTGAGAAGGTGGATGGAGACACAGGAAGGAGACGTGACTCTTGGCTCCAAGGGGGAAACAGGATCCCAGCCTTGCAGTGGATGCAGAAGGTTATAGTTTGTTTATTTTTATTCTTGTTTGGATACAAACTGTGAGAGTTTAGAGAGCAGCCCTTACAGTGAGAAAAGCCAAAGGCAAGCTGGACAACAGAAATTTATCTCCAAACTAGGTGTGCTGGAACTTAAATGAATATGTGCACCAATTTTAGTCAGTTGGGCAGATAATGTGTAGGATTTAATGGGATTAATAATTGCCAGTTCTTTTCCAAAAGGTAAAATAGCTGTATCCTAATTGTACTGGAGTAAATGCTAGTATCTTTGATAAGACTAGAGTCAACATCAAGTGCTTTCATATAATGGTATTATTGCAGAGGACAAGTTGCTTAATAGGTATTCAGGCCTTGTGTTGAGGATTAGAAGTGATTGGTAAATCAGTATTCATAGGTGTCAAGGTGGGCTTAGTTGCTATGGAAGCAAATTAGTATGCAGGTGTTGCTGTGGGTGCAGGTGCACCAGGTTAGGCACCGGGGACCTGGATCTTCTCCCTTCCCTCCTCACTAGGTCTGCTGTGGATTCCTTCCTCAGGTATGCGTGCATATGGCTTGTTTTCTGTCTCCGTGGGATGTCGGGGGCTGTCGCGTGGCTGGACACCAGCAGCAAGTGCTGGGGTGTGGCCTCGGAGCTGCAGGCTTGGGTGTCACCCCACCACGGTACTCGTGGCTGGAGGTGCAAGCTGAAGCAGTGGGTCACTGAAGCTGTGCTGATGGGAGATGGCTCTAGGCAGAATGGGTCTCTCCTTGCTTTATCCAGTGTGGACAGAAGGAAATGTTACTTTTTGTTTCTAGAGATGCTTATTCTTATTTTTAGAGATGGTCTACTGATGCCTCTGGTGATGCATCTGTTTTATGTTCCTTATTTAAACAATGAAAGTACCCCAGCTCTAGATTTACAAGTTGAAAAGAAGTCAAATGGTGCACTTCATTTAATAGTTCTTGAAAACAAAGGCACATGAACTTCCTGCGATTGCATCAGTGCCTGGTGGCGCTCAGATGTTTCATGAAGCGATGAACCCCAGCAGCTCTCTGGAGAGCACGCCAAGGCTGCCTGTCCTTGCAGTCCGGCGGTCCCCAGCCGCATGGGCTGTTCGAAAGAAGGGAGCAAACCTCAGGTGTGTGATGATGAGGAGACTTGGTTATTGTTGTGCTTGACCTCTTGCCTTAGAGAAAAAAGCCGTGGGGCAGGACCTGGTGGGCACGTGGGCAGGCTTCCACACCGTTGTACCCCAAACACTGTTTCCACCATGAGTGACTGGGCCAGGGCATCTCCTGGGGACTTCTAGTCTTCTTCAGTGCAAATACTAGAAGTATTTCAGCAGAGCTGCCCTCTGCTGGCATTTTATTTTTTTACAGTATAGACCGCTTAAAACGATGGGTCGGCAGGTCTGAGGTTGCCCATGAATGAGCATCATCCCCTCCTTCCTTCCAGTCGCCAGCAGGTCAAAGCGTTATCACTTACGATGCTTCTTGTGGTGTGCATCTGCTTTCCTGAAATACGCCTGGCGCAGGTAGCACTGTTCCCAAAGTGGTAATCGGGAGCTTTCCGAACCAAAGCGTAATCTAGTAGTAAAACTTAAAAACCCTTTTGGTTGTACGGAGCTTGGCATTTTTCAGAGGATCATTTGTACGGTCGGTTTGGGCAGGTTCATTTCTGAGGTTGTCTTTGCAGCTCAAGTGTCTGCCTCGCCCAAATTCTGAAAAGTTGCATATGGTTTTAAGAGGAAACCATTGAATATCAACTTTCTTTTTAAATAGAGGAAAATCTTATAGAAAAAAAGAGTTCTTTTTCGTTCCGTATAAATATGAGTATAAACATGAAATGGAGGTCTTTTATGTGTTTCTTTTCTCAATGTAATCTTAATAATGAAGTTTCAGTTAAGAAGTGTGTGTGTGAAGGGGTTTGGAGCATTTCTGGGGAGTGTCGTCTTCCTTTAGCACGAGTAGTAGCAGTTCAGAGAGTAACAGCAAAACCAGAGGAACACTTAACTAATTTCAGGAGCACTTAGTGGTTGTTGGCAACAGTCAAATCTGTATGATGTGAGTTGTGATATGTTAAAATGGATTCTTCTTCTATATTTCTGTATTCTAATACGGAATATTTACAATACCTGACAATAGAATCAGTGCTCCCAAGCAACACACTGGTTATGCACCACCCATTCCTTTGACTCAATTTATGTAAGTGGTTTTGTTCCTGTTTTCTTTTTTTTTTTCCCCTACATATTGGTATTACTTCCATGAAAGTAAGCATCAAAGAGCAACTTTTTAGGTTTCTGAAAGCTTTATAATATTTAGTCTTCAGAACTTGTTTTATCTTCTATGAAGCAGGTCTAGTTTTGGGGGAGGGGGGGTTGGTTCTGTTTTGTTAAAAAAACTTCTATTTCTGAATTAATTTTTTGGCAGCAACAGCAATATTGAAGGATTCTTGAATGTTTTGTTTCTCTTATACCCAGCACTTAACAGGCTAGGTTAGCAACTGAAAGAAACTTGAGGTACATCCACTGAATTTTGCAAATGGAAAGCTACCAGAAGTAGCTTTTATTTTTTCCCCTCTCTCTCTCTCTAAGTGTGGAGCATCATATCTGAAATTATGGAGAGTATAAATGTGGAAATGTTAAATCTTTTGTTAATGGCTTCGAATTAAGCACACATTGTTGCAGATGATTTGGAGGACTTATTTAAAGTAAATATACAATTTCAAGCTCAATTATCATTCATAGTTTGACTGAACATAGTGAGATATTAGGGCTGTGAATTTGATACAGTGTTACTTCATAATTACGATGCTTTTTTACAGTAAATTTGATATAGAACAGTTGCTGAAGGAAAGCTGCTGAATAGTGTGACCAAGCATTTTATGGGACACATCTGGTGCATTAGTTCAGGATGTGCACTGCAGAAGAACAGAGCCTTTTGCACAGACTCAGAAGGAAGCTAACCCCACATGTATACGTTTTGCGGGCATGCGGAGAGGTTAAACAATTACAAGTTAATTGT